TGTCCCCCTGGAGAACCCTAATATATTGATATAATAATATATATGCCCTGACTAATACACTAATATAATAATACATATTCACAGACATATATATACACATACACACACATATATATATACACCATTAGTTCTGTCCCCCTGGAGAACCCTAATATATTGATATAATAATATATATGCCCTGACTGATACACTAACATAATAATATATATTCACAGACATATATATACATACACACACACATATATACACCATTAGTTCTGTCCCCCTGGAGAACCCTACTACACAGGTTGTCACATCAGCACAGGCACAGGGTCATTACTCTTGTGAAACCCATGGCACTATTTCCACTTCAGCTCAGTGCCTGAGGGTTAGGATGCATCTGCTACTGGGAAAGGTGGATAGAGTGGCTCTATGGCAGCTTGGCACAACAGGATAGTGAATAGCAGCAGCTTAGCCCGGGGATGGCAGGCCACTAGGCAAGGCTGGCTCAGTGGTGACAACCCCTCAGCAATGGAAGGATGCTGTGGCTATGTGTCCCCCGGAGATCCAGAAATGGATCCCATTCCACAGTGGCATAGTGCCAGAGCCACAACGGCCATGGACAGTGGGGCACAGTGTCGGTCTTTTCTCCTGGATGAGTGCAGCTGTGTGGTGGGTAGCTCCATCAGCTGTGCTTAGCATCTGTGAAAGGGAATCTCCAATGGTGAGATCTACAGGTGTCCAAAGTGTTGATGGAAGCTGCTAGGTTCTTTTCTCAGCTTTTTCCAGCAAGGAGAAGTCCCTCTTTATTCCAAGCTGATCCTGACTGGGGGATGGGGTGATAGAGGTACAGTGCTACTTTCATTTATTATGTGGCCATCTGTGATTTTTAATGCAATGGCTAAAATGGCAGACGTAGAATTCAGAATCTGGATGCCAGACAAAGATCGTTGAGCTACGGAAGAAAGTTGAAACCCAATCCAAGGAATCTAACCCAGTAAAATGACACAAGAGGTGGAAGATGAAATAGACATTGTAAGAAAGAAAGAAACTGATTTTACAGAGCCGAAAAACTCATTACAAAAATTGCGTAACACAATAAAAAGTAGTAACGGCAAAACAGACCAAGGTGAGAAGAGAATCTCAGAGCTCAAAGACTGCTTCTATGGCCAGGCGCGGTGGCTCACGCCTGTAATTCCAGCACTTTGGGAGGCCAAGGTGGGCGGATCACAAGGTCGGGACATCGAGACCACGGTGAAACCCCATCTCTACTAAAAATACAAAAAATTAGCCGGGCGTGGTGGCGAGCGCCTGGAGTCCCAGCTATTTGGGAGGCTGAGGCAGGAGTAATGGCATGAACCTGGGAGGCGAACTCTTATAAATGTTTGGTTAGAATCAGCTAAGGAACAGAAATCATACAGAATTAACAACTATGACATATAAGAGGACAAAACCCCCACTCTTCACCCCAATCCCTCCATCTCTCTGTAGTTACTTTTATTGGTCTACTCAGAGTTGTGTTCTTTTCTCTTTTCTTTTTTTTTTGAGCACAGGAGTTCCTCTGGTTGCCCAGGCTGGAGTGCATGGGGGTGAATCTTCGGCTCACTGCAACCTCCTCCTCCTGGGTGTCAAGCGATTCTCCTGCCTCAGCCCTCCAAGAGTAGCTGGAATTTCAGGTATGCGCCACCACACCTGCTAATTTTGTATGTTAGGTGAGGAGATGGGTTTCTCTAGGTTAGGTCAGGCTGGTCTCGACTCCCGACCTCAGGATGACTACCTACCTCAACCTCCCCGAAGGTGCGTGGATTACAGGTGGGACCACTACCACAGGGCTCAGAGTTTGTATTTGCTTGATGATTGAATTTTGTTGTTATGAGACGGAGACTTGCTCTGTTGGCCCAGGCTGGAGTCAGGTGGCGTGAGCTCGGCTCCCGCAAGCTTC